AGCCTTAACCCCATTCATCACCAAGGATTACGTTTATGCCTTGGTGCTTTTCGCTCTTCCCCTGTCGAGAGCCTCTATGCAGAAGCGAATGTTCCATCCTTATCCGATCGCCGTGATGCCCATTGCCTTCGCTACTATGTACACTTTCATGATCTCCGCAATCCTTCTATTTATAGAATGGTCACTGATATTAGTAGACATTCTTTATTTGTTCGCCGCCCCTGTTTACTCCATCCCTTCTCTCTGCCTTCATTCGCTCTTGTCTTCTCTTCAATTACCACCTTTCTATGTACATGTAGCATCTCACTTTTCCCTACCCCCCTGGGAAGTTCCAGCTGTTCGAGTCTGTTCTTTCTCTCTCCCTTGCTCGAAAGCCCAACTGTCTACGGCCGCTTCCCGCTCTCTTTTTCTTGACCACTTTCACTCTCATTCTCATGCCATTGCTGTGTACACAGATGGCTCCAAGTCTTCTGATGGCGTAGGATTCGCAGCAGTGTTTCCGGACAGTGTCGCACAAGGGCATTTACTATCTTCGGCTAGTATTTTTACTGCTGAATTGTATGCCATCCTTACAGCACTTATCCGTATTGCATCTATGCCTGTGTCACCATTTGTGGTTGTCTCAGACTCCCTTAGTGCTTTACAGGCTATACAGAAATTTGATACACCTCACACCTTAGTCCTCCGTATCCAACTTTGGCTACGCCGCATCTTTACCAAGCATAAAGATATTGTTTTTTGTTGGGTCCCTGGTCATGTTGACGTACAGGGCAATGAACAGGCAGACACTGCTGTGCGGTCAGCAGTACATACATGACCTACCAGTTTCATGTAGAGGTATTCCATTTACGGACTATTTTGCTGCAATATCTTCCCAACTTCACACCCGTTGGCAACAATGTTGGTCTACTATGCTCGGCAACAAACTTCAATCTATTAAACCGAGTATAGGTTACTGGCCGTCTTCTTATCACCAGTGTCAAGGTTGGGAGACTACTCTCTCCCGTCTTCACATTAGCCATACTCGTCTTACTCATGGATATCTCATGGAGAGGCGCCCTGCTCTTCTCTGTGAGAATTGCCAAGTTCCATTATCAGTCAGCCACATTCTGTTGGACTGCCCACTTTATCAACGAGCACGCAGAATTTACCTCCATCGTCGTCTTCGCTCTGCTGCTCTCTCTTTACCTTCCCTTCTCGCTGATGGACCCACCTTTCATCCAGACTCTCTCATTGACTTTTTGACAACAACTGACTTACTTCACAAATTCTGATACCTTCAGCCCTTTCTACTTCAATCTCTTGCTACCCTCTACCCCCGTACTATCCCCTGCCCCGCTGTTTTCTGTAACCTACTGATCATCCCTCCTCCCTTCTGCCATCCAATACCCTCGCTTCCTTCCCTACCCTGCAGCGCTGTATAGCCCTTGTGGCTTAGCGCTTCTTTTTGATTATAATAATAATAATACACTGTTGCGGTGTAGGGATCACCTTTCGAACTTGTAACCGATGTTCTGCGACAAACAGAGGACGGGAGTTCACGGTTGTCGAAAATTAGTCGAGCCACATTGCAAGGGTATCATCTCTGCCTGCAGGCAGGAAGGACACAAGTGTCTACTTTGAGGATTGGGAGATTCTGGAGTTCCAGCTGTTCAAGAATGTCATTGCCACATGCCTGGAAATTCTGTTGGGCTATGGTATGGGGCAGAATGACAGTACCACTACAAGAATTGAGAGAATGACGTTTTTCAATAGTGATAGGAATAGTATCGATATGTGAGAGAAAGATCATGAGCTTGGGTAGCATTCTGGACAGTGACAATGCACGTACGACTCTTGAGAGCATGAAAGGAAATATCTCTACCAACATGGCATAGGAGCACCTTGCCAGTACTGTGGTCAGAAAGATAGGCAATAGAGGAAGTCGGTCGCAAAATAAAGAATTTAGTCCATTGTGCATTCCGAAACTGAGCATGGAAAGGGAGTGCATGACGTGTCAGTCTTTTCTGAGTAGAACGAGAAGGTGGTGAAGAAGTATCATCGGGCAAGTGTCGTTGGTGTTTAGGAGTGGGACCAGAGTTGGTCTGATGTGGGACGGGCTGGCGATTTGAAAATTGCCGCAGCATAGAGGGAGGGGCCGGAAGCATAGTCAAAGGAGAGCGGGGGGCCAGGCAAATCGAAGGAGTTGGTCGAAACCCTGGTACCTGAAGCGGATGATGAAACAGCACCAGCAAGAGGTACAGGGGCATTAGGAGTGTCCGAAGAGTGGTCAAAAGACGAGACAGGGTCAGAACGGGATGCGGTAACAAGAAGGGGCCCAGGGGTAGCAGGGTCATGGATTGGGTCCTCCATGGTTAGGTTACTTCTTTCTTTTTGTTTTTAAGAAAAAAATAAATAAAAATAAAAAAAACAAAAGAATAAAAAAAAAGGGGGGAACGGGGAGGAATAGTTCCTAGGAGGAATGAAAGTGTTGAAAATCTCCCTCCACACCCAAGATGACCTCAGCACCTCCTTTGGCCACCACCCCCGAAAGGCGGCCTCCAGAGATACACCCGTCACCCGAAAGACACCCAAAGTCAACCCCCCAGGAGACCGGAGAGGGATTGGGACATCCCCAGGCAATCCAGATTCCACAGCAAACTACACCACCGCCAAGAACCTCAACGGAATGGAATGGACCCCAGTACCCTTCCCCCTTCCTAGGAACTAGCATGCCTGTGGGAAGAATCCCAAAGGCCAAAAAGAGGAAGGGAATAAGGGAGGGATGGGGAGAAGGATAGGAAAAAGGGAGGATGGGATAGGGAAGGGGGGATTGGGGGGTAATTAGGTTCAGTCTGAGGAAGGAGACCAACATGTTTAATTCCTCTGACCAAGAGCCTCTTCACCATGCCAAGGAGCCCCTCTTGAAGAGGGGTGGCAGCTGAGGTACTGGTTGTAATGATGGTGTAAAGAAATGTTTTGGACTTCTGCTTGGATAAATACTGAAGCCTTTGATCATATCCTTTGTATCCTTCAGATCTAATAACCCCATTTACCTACTTGTCATCACAACCTTCTTCCTCTTAGCAGCAGCACTCACCTTCATGCTCTTGCTTAGGAGTAATAATGAATTCTAGGACACATACCTGAATAAAAATTTTCAGGCTTGCAGATACAGTTAAATTCCATGGTTTTTGAGACTGGGGACAACCAATTATTATGGGCTCAGTAAAACAGTGAATATCTGAGGGCTGAGTTCCACAGATAATGCTGCATTAAGAGTAACACCAAAAAATTTCTCTAGTTTTTGTAATATGTATAGTTCATAGATTTTAACAGTTTTAAGAAGCCTGTAAACTAGTACAATATATGTACATTACATGCAATATATTAGATTTTAATTTCCTTCCATACAAAACCTATAATTTTTTTAATTGCAGATGAGAGTTCAGTAAAATCCCTTATTTATCAAAATTGGCAAATATGAAATACAGTGAATTTGCTATGATGATTGTACAACATTCAGGGCAAAATAAGCAAGAAGTATTGAACATTTGACTGTTGTACAAGGTGAGCCACAGTATCTTACCACCTCTCCAGAAAGAGTAAAAAGGCAAAAAATGCTGTGACTGGAACAGTATACAAATAACCCGCACATAGGAGACAAACTAATGACAAATCAGTTCAACTTGGATCATCGATTACTCACATAGTTAATGTGCAGAGTTTAAATTTGCTTCCTCTTTTAACCCTTAAACGGTCCAAACGTATATATACGTTTTTTTCGACATTTGAAAGTATGTAAAAAGATGTACATTTTTTTTTTTTATGTTTGAAAATGTGTAAAAAAACTTTTATCTCCATTTTTTTTTGTATTTGAAAATATGTAAAAAAACATATATCTACTTTTGGAGCACTACGGATTTGAATGTCGATCTATTTGGACCGTTTAAGGGCTAAGGATAGATGAACATACCCATCCATGATACAAGCAATTACAGCATTGAACAAACATCTACAACTAGGGAAGGAAAGAGATCTAGAGAGATTAGATTTAATTTCCAGTAATAATTTTGCCAAAAAGCCACTCTCCTCCCTTTAAAAAAAAAAATACTTTTATGATGACTTAGCAACAAATTCCTCAACCAAAACAAAAAAAAAAAAAAAAAAATTCATACTGTCAGGGTTAAAACAGTTAACCACAAACCTAAACTTAGGAGAGCAATCTGACAATATTTCATTCCGACCTAAACCAGTCATAAAAAAAAAAAAGATAGATTTCTCTCTGAAGTACGGGTTTTTGGTGAATCCTCATCCAATTTGTACTGTTTGTCTCTAGTTGATGACCCTTCAGTCCTTGACTTATTTTGTGTATTACCTGTTATATGCAAGTGTCTTTTTTGGCTGGAACTTTTTCTGGTAATCAGGTCTGTCTTCCTTATTTGTGGATGTCTAATTCTTAAGTAGTTGAAGCATTAGGATTAGTTTACCCCCTGAAATGCTTTGCATACTAGTGACTTTGTTCCTAACAATGTTTTATTACTTTCTTTTTTTTTTAAACACATCAGCTATTTCACACTAAGGCATGGCAACCTGAAAAAGAAGAAACCCTTTCATCATCACTCGCTCCATCACTGTCTTGCCAGAGACATGCATATACTACAGTTCAAAACCTGCAACATATCACCACCCCTCCTTCAGAGTTCAGGCACTGTAAACTACATTATCTTTGTGCAGCATAAAAAGAAAGAAATATTTCAATTTGAATGTGGCTTAACACTGGCAACAGTCCTTTGTTAAAATATGCAATGTTTATGTCACTAATGGATAAATTTATTTAACCTGTACACATTTTTACAAGGGTAAGAACACATCGTGGTTACCTTGTGCCTATAATACTAATATACACAAGATACATTTCTTCTACTATGCACTGGATTTGTCTCTGTACTTTCGCAATATCAGAAAATAACTATTCCTGTATCATAGCTTAATTCAAATAAGGAACAAATTTGTTTCAGGAAATGTGGTTTAATGTTTCAACAACAGTGACTTTGGACACGGTACGTCTTCTGTTACAACAAGACAATGCCTTAAAACACATAGGTCGCCTCTGTTACATGAATGGTGCCACTATGGGGAAATATCAAGAACTTCTTACTCAAGTACGCCAACACAACTTAGATATTAAACTAATATGGGTGACTGATGAACGTACTAAATAGGATTGAATTTAGAATATACATAATCATTGGTCCAAATATTTCTTGTAAACACCACACTTAGCACTCACCAAATGTCCTCATTATACCATATTATTATTATTATAATAAAAAAGAAGCGCTAAGCCACAAGGGACATTATACCATAGATATTGAACATATGCTGCAGAGATAAGATTTTCCTGTTCAGAATAGTAAGACACTTACAAAATTGAGATGTTGCTTTTATGGTGGATGTAAGATAAGACTTGCCAATGAAGATGAGGCTTCAGTAGGAAATATGCTATTTGTGATGATAATACTGTTTATGCCAAAAAACTGTTTCACAAGTGAAACAATGCAGAATGGGCCTCATGAGTCAAATTTTTTGGCGTGATTATTATTTGCTTGTGTAATTATATAGTTTAGGTAGTAGAGAGTGTTCAAGAAGTATAGATAATACAGCAGTACCTTGGGTTATGTTATTAATCCATTCCAGAAGATTCATTGCTCCTGAAAACTATTGTAATTCAAACTTCCAATTTACATGATTATGTGGTGATTCGTTTGAAGGCCATGGGAGTGCAACTTTTACTATACCTTGGAATTGCACGTTCACAAATATAACTTGCAGGTATTGTATTTCTCTGCCTATTTTCACTAGTGTAACCCTTTCAGTGTCAGTCTCATTATATAAAGAATAAAGAAGAATAAAGATTTTATTTCTTTGCAAGTTAAAATGTGTAATTACAATTTTGGTTTTATTAAATACAAATGCTGGGGCATTTTGGGCAGACTAATCCTTGTACATAACTACTTAAATCTAGACAAGATAACAGTGGTTAACTTTTTAATAAATCTTTATTAATCTTAATACTAATGTGAGGTAGTCAAGGTGAAGGTTTATAAGAATAATCATCTTGAAGTTGCACATAAAAACAATATTACAATTAATGGTTTAAACAGTAATATTTCATGGATTGGCAGATGTTTGATAGACTAGAGCGTCATATAATATATTTGGAAGAGTTGCTTCAAACTGATTAGAAGTTGTTTTGGTTGGTTATGGTTAGTATTGAGAGATGATTTTTAATCATAGTCCTAAATTTATATGTAGTCAGGGGATCCTTTACTGGTTCAAGTAGTAAATTCCAGATCTTCTGGCCCTTTATATGCATTGCATTTTTACATAGTGTGAGACTGACACAAGGGATGTCGAAGAGTGCCTTGTATTGTGACTGAGTTCTTTTGTAGCTATCAAGAAGTTTAAGTGGAGGGTTTATATGGGAGTTTAATATGAGTGTATGTCTCATATTTAGTAGGTTCAGGCTTTTGAAAAATGGTGGGGGTGTGCTGTCTGGCACATGAGCTGGTAATCATCTGCACAACAGCTTTTTGTTGGGTAATTAATGGTTTAAGGTGGTTGGCTGTGGCT